TGTGTTAATTGATTCAGGTAGTTCAGCCAACATCATTCGATCAAGGGTCGTAAAGAAACTCGGTCTACAGGACCATGTCGTGCCCGCAACCTTGCTACTAAACAGATTCAATATGGCGTGTGAAACTACTAAGGGCGAGATAATTTTGTCAGTAAACGTGGTCGGGACCATCCAAGAAACAAAGTTCCACGTGATCGAGGGCGCCATGAGATATAACGCCCTGTTCGGGAAGCCGTGGATCTACAACATGAGAGCAGTACCCTTGACCCTTCACCAGGTTCTAAAATTCCCAACACCAGAGGGAATAGAGGGAATCAAAACGGTCTACGGGGAGCAACCGACCGCAAAGGAAATGTTTGTCGTCGATGAAGTGATTCCGATATCATCACTATCATCGATAAAGGGATCATATTCGAAGGAGAAACGGGACACCAAATAGCAATTACAAACGTCAGCCTCGACCCAACTAGAGAAGCAGAAAACTGGCGAAGATGATGATTATGGGATCCCTCGATCTTTCATGGTCCCCGATGATTCTGACGCTACTAAATCAATGGTCGAAGAACTGGAGCAAATCACGCTAATCGAACATTTGCCCGAGCGAAAGGTATACCTTGGCACGGGGTTAAATCCCGAGCTCAGGAAAAAGCTTATTCAATTTCTTATAGCTAACATAGACTGTTTCGTTTGGTTCCATCTTGACATGACACGGATCCCACCGGAAATAACCACTCATAGACTAAACTTGGATCCGAAATTCCATCCGGTAAAGCAAAAAAAAGGCCCTAGTCCGAGGTCAAACATGCCTTCATCAAGGACGAGGTAACCAAACTTCTTAAAATAGGATCCATTCGAGAAGTAAAATACCCCGAATGGCTAGCAAACGTGGTGGTAATCCCTAAGAAGGGAAACAAACTCAGAATGTATATAGATTATAAGGACCTAAATAAAGCATGCCCTAAGGACTCTTTTCCTTTGGCTAATATCGCTCGTATGATCGATGCCACGGCCAACCACGAGACTCTCAGTTTTCTCGATTCCTACTCCGGGTACAACCAGATACAGATGAACCCGGAAGACCAGGAAAAGACCTCATTTATCACTAAGTACGGTACCTACTGTTATAATGTAGTGCCATTCGGTCTAAAATATGATGGTGCTACTTATCAACGCCTAGTAAACCGAATGTTTGAAAAACAAAATAGGAAAATCAATGAAAGTTTATATTGATGACATGTTAGTTAAGTCCCTACGAGCAGAGTACCATTTAAAGCATTTGCAGGAAACTTTCGATATACTGAGGGAGTACAATATGAAGCTCAACCCCGAAAAATATGCATTCGGGGTTGGCTAGGGCAAGTTTCTTGGTTTCATGGTGTCCAATCGGGGAATTGAGATCAACCCCGATAAAATCAAAGCTATCAAGGATATCACTATAGTGGATACTGTAAAGGTCGTGCAGAGCTAACGGTACGGATAACCGCCCTAGGATGATTCATTTCGAGATCCCCATATAGGAGCCACCGCTTTTTCTCACTACTTAAGAAGAAGAGCAACTTTGCATGGACTCCGGAATGACAGCAAGCTTTGGAGGAACTAAAGCGGTATTTATAGAGTCTGTCGTGGCTTCATACCCCGAAAGTGGACAAACAGCTTTACATGTACTTAGTTGTCTCCGAAATATCGGTAAGTGGAGTCCTGGTTCGAGAAAAACAAGGTACGCAATTCCCTATTTATTATGTCAGTCGGACCTTAGGCGAGGCCGAAACTAGATATCCACACTTAGAAAAATTAACGCTTGTTTTAATAAGCGCCTCTAGGAAACTAAAACCATAATTCCAGTGTCATCCGATATGTGTTGTAACAACTTATCCTCTTCGAAATATTTTGTACAAACCCGAGCTTTCGGGTCGATTGGACAAATGAGCCATAGAAATCAGTGGGTATGATATTGAGTATCGACCACGACCGCCATCAAATCTCAAATCTTGGCGGACTTCGTGGCTGACTTTAATCCTGCCTTCGTACCCGAGATTAAAAAAGAACTACTGATAAAATCAGGTACCTCTTCGGGAGTCTGGACCCTCTTTACGGACGGTGACTCGAACGCAAAGGGTCCGGACTAGGCATCCGACTTAAATCACCCACATGTAATGTAGTTAGACAGTCTATCAGAACTACAAAATTAACTAACAATGAGGACGAGTATGAGATATGATTGCAGGTCTCGAACTAGCTAGAAGCTTGGGAGCGGAAGTCGTAGAGGCTAAGTGTGATTCCCTCCTTATGGTAAACCAAGTTAACGGGACTTTTGAAGTCCGAGAAGATCGAATGCATAGGTACTTGGATAAACTACAGGTGACTCTACATCGATTTAAGGAATAGACCTTGCAACATGTACCCCGAGAACAGAACAGCAAGGTCGACGCTCTTGCAAACTTAGGTTCATCAGTCGAAAATGCCGGACTCAACTCGGGGACTGTCGTACAACTTATGAGATCGGTAATCGAAGAAGGTCACACCGAGATAAACTCCACAAGTTTAACCTGGGATTGGAGAAACAACTACATAGAATACTTTAAGAACGGGAAGCTTCCATCAGATCCAAAGGAATCGAGAGCTCTGCGCACAAAGGCAGCACGGTTCACCTTGTCCGAAGACGGAACACTGTTTAGAAGGACGTTCGATGGACCATTGGCAATATGTTTGGGACTGGGAGACACCGATTACATCCTAAGGGAAATTCACTAGGACACTTGTGGAAATCATTCCGGTGCTGATTCGCTTGTCCACAAAGTAATCAGATCAGGGTATTATTGGACTGTTATGGGCAAGGATGCAAGGGAGTTCGTTCGAAAATGCGAAAAATGCCAAAGGCATGCGCCCATGATTCATCAACCCAGGGAACTACTCTACTCGGTCCTATCTCCATGGCCCTTCATGAAATGGGGAATGGACATCATTAGGCCCCTCCCATCGGCCCCATGTAAGGCTCAGTTTATTTTGTTTATGATTGATTATTTCTCTAAATGGCTTGAAGCACATGCTTTCGAGAAAGTCAGAGAAAAGGAAGTGATAGACTTCATTTGGGACCACATCATATGTTGATTCGGGATGCCATCCGAGATTGTATGTGGTAATGGAAAACAATTCATCAGCATCAAAGTAACTAAATTTCTCGAGAATCCCAAGATCAAAAGGATCCTATCAACACCTTATCATCCCAGCGGGAACGAACAAGCCAAATCGACCAACAAAACTATCATCCAAAATCTTAAGAAGAGATTGACCGACGCTAAAGGAAAATGGATAGAAATACTACCCGAGGTCCTATGGGTATACCGCACAACATCAAAATCCAATACCGGAGCAATACAATTCTCGTTGGTTTATGGAACCGAAGCTCTGATCCTGGTCGAGGTCGGAGAACCTAGTGTCAGGTTTTGATATGCAATAGAGGAGTCGAATAACGAGACCATGAATACGATCCTAGAATTGTTGGACGAAAGACGAGAAGCCGCTCTCGTCCGATTGGCCGCCCAAAAATAGCGAATTGAAAGGTACTACTTTAACATCGGGGACTTGGTACTAATAAAAGTCACCCTCAACACCCGAAATCCGAATGAAGGGAAACTGGGTCCGAACGGGGAAGGACTGTATCAGGTTCTCGAAATCGTCGGAAAAGGATTCTACAAGCTCGGTATGATAAACGGCAAACAACTACCGATCAATTGGAATGTATCACACCTAAAACTATACTATTGCTAAGGTACGACCCTCCCATGTTCATTTGTATTTCAAAACTAACCCTTGCAGGTGTTCGACCAGAAACATGGATTGATTTTTCAACACGAAGACTTTAGGTATGAAAGCATGCGTTGCACTCTTTTTTCCTTAGACCGTTTTGTCCCAAATGGGTTTTCTGGCAAGGTTCTTAATGAGGCAACCATTTATTGTGCTAACTTAGAAAAATTCAACAATATCTGAGGCCTCTTTACAATCAACCTCGAATACTAGGGGAATTGCCCTCGAATATCAAGTTCGATGCAAGGAAGTTACTTCATGGCAACAGGGTCTCGATAGGAAAAATTTGTAAGGGCCAAATGGTCAAACGAACCATGTCCACATAGTTTGCTCGAGCCCTGGCACAAAAAGAGAAATTTCTTATTTACCAATATCGCATACCTCAGAAAGGTTCTTCTACTTCATATTCTCGATCTATTATGCAAATAGGCTTAAGAGCCGACCATGATCGGAGTTCAAATGATTAACCCCACAAATCGGGGACTGTCATCCGAAAAATAAACGAGATCGAGTTATATAAACTCCGAGGATCATAAGCCCAAGAGGCAAATCCCGAACTAAAGAGGGATTTTTATAGGCCACGGCTACCCTACTCGGGAACTGATACTTCGGGCAAGAACGAAAGTAAAATGGGAAAATAAGCCAAGACGCAAATCCCGGACTAAAGAGGCTACGGCCGAATTAATACGAATCGGAGACGTCCGAATTCCGTAACAAAACAGACCTTCGAAATCAATCATAATCTGGTTTAAAAGGCTACCCCCCAGCAAAATCATAAAAGGCTTCGATAATATCAAGCCTCGAAAATTCTAATGAGTACAAAATTGTTCGAACTCTCGAATAATTCCCTATTTCATGCTAAGGCATTACACGTTTCGCAAATACGAATGATAAGAAACTCTTTCAAGTCGAAAAGAGGAAAAAGCCATAAACAATCTTTTTTACAAAAGCCTAAGGGTTACTTTACTTCGAGTTCGAGCAAGCACTCACTCGACCATAAAGTTTATGGGCTATACTAATTCGGTTCCAATCAAATTGTTTAAACCTCGAATCTTAGAATAAAACTTCATAATTCTATAAGGAATAAAGGAAGAAAGTTTTTTATATATGTCAAAAATCATTTACAAGGGCAGCATGGCCCGATCAAGTTTCTCTACAAAAGACCGAAACGGTCTTAAAAGAAACACAAAACATACTAATCCTAAAGGACTTAGTCCTCTCCGGGAGCAGCATCTTCGTCCTCGAGGCCTCTTCGCTTTCAGATCCGCTCATACTCCCGGTATCATCATCATCAGGAAAGTCCAGCACTATGGCTTCGACTTCGAGCTCCTTAGCATTCTCGATCTCGGTTGTAAGATCGAAGCCATAAGAATGGATCTCCTCAAGAGTCTCCCTTTGAGACTGGAATTTAGCATTTTCAACCAAGTTTGCTCGAGCCTGAGCAGCTTTGGCAACCTCCATTGCTCGAACCTGAGCAGCTTCAGCATCGGACCGATAAACGGCCACCATTGCATCAGCATTTGCCGTGGATGTTTCGACCACCGATTCGGCCACTGCAAGTTCTGTGGCCAGTCTCTCTAGATCAAAATTTGTTGAACCCAACCGAGACTGGAACTCCTCAATTTCCTTGGCTTGCACCAAGGCCTTCTCTTTCAATCCTCGGAGTTGGGTCTCAGCCGAGGCCAGTTGAGCTCGGACAACCTCCTTTTCTGAGGCAAGGCGGTCTATGTTCTTTTTCCACTCCTCGGCCTCTGTTTTCATTGCGTCCACTTCAACACGAAGCTTCCTGATAACATCAAACTTTTGCTAGACCTATGGGACTGAACTGTTAGCCATCACGCCCGAATCAGTGACATTAACTTTAAAGATTTTTTTTATCTGCTGGGTCAGATCGGCTTATTCTTTTCGCGCTGCTTCTAGCTTAGCCCGAAGTCCTTTTGCTTCTCCTTCTCTCTGCTTACTAAAAAGTTTGAAGGCATCTCTCTCCTCAGTAAGCCTTTGGATTCTGTCTTCGTACCGGCTCATCTCCCCTCGGGATCGGAGGAACGCCTCGTGATGAAGCGCAAAAGCCTACAAGAAAAGAAAAAAGAAATTATACAAGGAAAGAAAAATACAAATATGAAAATTGACAAAGAGAAAATATGAACTTACCCAATTCAGGGTCTATTGAGCTTCGTTGAAAATACATGACACTCCCACCTCTCCCGAGCTCTTCTTCGGAGCCTCCGAGTCACCAAGACCGGTGACATCTTCTACCATGACAAAATAACCACGGAAATGGTCTTCATCTTCATGGGATCCTTCCCCGTGATAGGCCTCCATGGCCTGAGCGTCGAGTATCATCGACTAGGAAAATGAAGGAAATGAGGAATCCCCAATCTCTATTTCCCCGAGTAGATCTTTTGGGCGTCGCCTCCGTCTTGGGGAGCCTCAAGCTCGGTTTCTGCACCCGCTTTCACTGCCTCTTTGACGATCTCTTTGCCCTGAGGTAAAGCATCTTCGGTTCCCTTTGTCTTGAGAACTTGGGCCGAAGTCTCCTCCTCTACCTCATCGAGCCTAGACAGAGTGGTATCAACTCCCACTAATTCCAAAGCTTTCTGAATATCGGTGCCAACTCGTGCATGGGCCACCAGCCCAGAACCACTTTCTTCTTCTTCTTCATCCCTTAGTCTTTGGACTGACTCCATAGTCAGTGGGATTGTGTTCCCCTTGGGTTTACGGGCCGCACTCTTCTTGGGTTTTTTACCCTCGGGGTTTGAGGCCCTTTTTCTCTTAATCTCCATCACTGATTTCGAGATAGGCAGTAAAGCTTACTTTCCGAGACCTACAAAAGTAGAAAGTAAATAAACTCATACTTGAGAAAAAATGCTTGAACGATAGGCAAATCGGTAAGCCAAGAAGAAGGCTTACCATGAGTACGAGCCTCCCACTGACCCTTTGACAAATCGCGCCACGCGCGCTCGGTGTATGTTGACGTCGACACCAGGATCCTGACATAGTTCTCAAGGTGGGGAACCGCACCTGGCATCCAAGTAATGGTTGTGTCAAGAAAAATGCTGATAAGAAAAAGTGATGAAGTAAAAACAACAAAAACTAAAAACTGGATCACACTTACGTTTCATATCCATTTCTCGGGAAATGGCATAGTCTCAACCGGGATTAGGTCCGAGGTCTTCACCAGACCAAATCGGCCCATCTAACCCCGATCTTTGTCTTCATCTATACTCGAGGTGAACGTCTTAGTGGCCCAGCATTGAAGTTTTATCAGCCCACCTCGGTAAAGTCAAGGGCTATATAATCTTACGAGGTGGTCGAGGGTGAAGAGAAGCCCGTCTATTTTGCTCACAAAGAAACGAAGTAGTATCACAATCCTCTAGAAAGAAGGGTGAATTTAATCGAGGGTCACCTGGTATTTCTTGCAAAAATTGACGATGACTGAATCGAGGGGGCCCAGCATGAAGCAATAAGTGTAAAAACTCAGGTACCCTTCTATGTGGGTAGTGATCGCCTCCTCTGGTGCCGGTATCACAAACTTTTTGTTTTCCCAATTGTACTCTTTTTTCACCAGATCAAGAAGACTTTTTGGTATTGAGCATATATATCTCGATACTGGCTCGCATCGACCAGCAACTGATGAGGATTTCTCGACTTTAAAGTTAGAATCAATAACGCACCCCCCGGGAATAAGTTCTTCAAGGCGTGGCTCCACCAATGTTTTCTCGCCCGCAGACTGAGATGAGAAAGCAACTGCTTTCTACGGAACAGTTTTAGATGTTTTGGCCATTTAGTTTTGTGAACAAAGAAGAATGGAGATGGAAGTATTTGGTATTTTATGAAAAACAGGCAAAGAAATTTGAAAACCTGGAAATAGGGAGATTTTTTAAGGGCAAAGAACTATGAAGATTGCAATGTAAAAGATTTGAAAGTAAAAGTTTGGAATGACAAAGAATGGGGCTATTTATTGGTTTTACAACGACGGTTCAAAACTGGTAGTGGCCAACCATCGACTGACGCGCATTTAATGCCTTGGTAACTGGACCGACGGGACATTTGTCGCATACGTCACAATCGAGCTTTTCGCTGACATCATCATCCACCAAGTCGAAGTTCAGAAATTCACATTGTTTCTCGTCATCTTCTTTTTGAGAAGCGAGGGGACTATCTGTATACGGTCAAAACCAATCCTGCCCTTTATATGATTAATCGAGATTGGAACATGACAGTCGAAGATTCATCGTTGTAATATCGAGCCATGATACGAAGTTAGGTTGTCGAGCTCCAACCCTAAGACCGATCAATATCAAGACCGAGTCAAGATCGAGCTCGAGACCCCGAGACTGACCAATACCGAGACTGGCCAAGATCAACACCGAGTAAAGGAGCAAAAAGTCATTATAGCCGCATTTGGGGAGAGAATCTCGGCGGAAATCACGGCTTGAATCAAGGAAAAGCTAATTAATTAATCTATCATGGGATCCCCACTATGTATTTTTAATTATATCCAAAGTAGAATCCCCCCCCCGCCAACTATATTAAGAGTGGTTATCATCTGTACAAAGGGACATTGATTTATTCACATTCAGATTTATTGAGATTTACATAACGTCTAGCAAATATTATCCTTTTTGGGCTTTAATATTGATTCATCTTGTTCTCTTATCAATCACTCTCTATTCAATTTGGGTTTGTATTCATTCCTTTTATAACTAATTTCGACATCCATTTACATATTGTTCCCAATTTGTATCAATTTATATCACGAATTTCACGCATGTCGACTCGGTATACAAACTTATCAAAGTCAATGTTTTTGCTAGAAGAGAGTATCATGTCATTACCATAAGGGATCTGACGCCATATCAGATTCCGGTGGTGGAAATGTTGGCGACATAGGCAGAACAGTATGTTAGATCGGAGCCTGAATCAATGGTTGATCGACCTGAATTTGACTAAGGTCAACGGCATAAGATGAACGGAGTGAGTTTCTTCGTTAACGGAGTTTCTAGTGCTGGTAAGAATAGGCACGGAATCCTCGAATTCCGGTACAATATTGGGATGTTCGGGGCGGATGACGTCAGTTTCTGAAGGGAGTTTGAGGTGGGTGACATCATTTTTCGGTTGAGTTAAAGGAGTACGAGCAATGGTAAGGGTAAATAAAAGGAAAAGAACGGCGACGAAGAGTGTTGCCATTTCTTTTCTTTTTTTATTACCTCCTTATAAGAGAAGTGAAGGGTGCTCACTACTGGAGCACCCTACTCTTATCAGTATTGCCATTGTGAAATGTAAAGAACCGTAAAAAAAACATATTGGCATGGTGTGATATATACATTAAGAAGGGGTGTTCGGGCAATTTGGTCAGGTTAGAGGTGGATGTGCAGTTGAAAGAGAGCCTCAGATGGATGAATAAACGGGCAACTTGGTTTACTGCCACGTGGCGGTAGATTGTTTTCTATTTATCCTCTTGACGTCGACGACAGTATGTAAAACAAATACTAAAATTTCAACAAGGAAGTATTCGCCTTTAATTTCCTTTATCTATCTTCCTATTACTAAGGGGAACCTTGGAGTAACAATAAAGTCGTCTCTGTGTAATCTATAGGTTACGGGTTCGAGCCCTTGGGGTGCGGTTCGTGAACGCGACTGTAAGGCCCCATAAATTTCCGGCAAGTAATTTAAGGTTTCGTGGTGCCAAGGTAGGCTAAAGTATTATATTTTCAGACTTTTTGGGTTGAACAGTGAGTTGAATCATTTCGACCTCGCGAAGCCTGGTGTGTAGCGCGCCAGACCGTGTGTCACGACCCAAAATTCCATCACAGGCATCGTGATGGCACTTAGTCTCTAGGACTAGGTAAGTCGATTATAATAACAATTCGAGCTATTTTCTTTTTCTTTTTAAACATATAATTATAATACAAGTGTCAAAATCAACATCGAAAATATTCAAACAACCTCTCAAGACTGATAATATTAAGTCACGAATTCTAATTTAATACATGGAATTATCTCGAGGGTCGAATATATAATACTGTTCGAATAAGAAATTAACATAACAAAAAAATGAAAAGACTCCAAGGGACTGCGACGACCAAGCAATCCTACCTTGAATCCTACCTGCGACGACCAAGCAATCCGATATCTCCAATACCTGGTTCTATACAAAAATGTGTAGAAGTGTAGTATAAGTACATCACGGTCGGTACCCAGTAAGTATCAAACTAATATCGGTAGAGTAGTGACGGGGTACAATCAAGACACTCACTAGTCAAATAACATGTGCAATATAGCATACAAAATAATGAAAAATAAATAGCAGTGATGGCAACAATAATCAATTTGTGACACAAAATAGCAAGACAACAGGAACATCATAAATATTGCTCAAACGAATAATAAACACAAGTACATCCAATTAATCAAGTCCTTCAAAATATACATTTTTTATCTATAAGTTTTTCAAATAAAAATCTTTAGAATGTAATCCGTACAATTAAATATATCCCGAATATACTTCCTTCAAATAAATATCTTACAAATATAATTTTTTCAGATAATTATCTTTCGAATATAATTCTTTCAAATAAATATTTTTCGAATATAATTCTTTCAAGTAAATATCTTTCGAATATAATTCTTTCAAGTAAATATCTTTCGAATATAATTCTTTCAAGTAAAAATTACCATGTGACACCTCATTTAACTTTCCTGGCACGGTAACACCTTTGTGCATTTATCTTATTAACACCTCAAATGGCACGGTAACA